TATAGAGTTGACAGTATAAAAACTCTTACACTATATATACATCTTTTTTTGATCATTTAATTCCTACATATACTAGTGGTACTATTGGTCCAATATGTACATATGGTTAAGAGTTATAAGAGAATTACATTGGTGCTATAATGTGAGGTTGGTGCACCATAAAATAAGGTATGTGGAATTCATATCATTGGGGCCAACTTGCCCGTTGCCATATCCTAAAGGGAAAACATGTACAAAATTCCACTGCCATTGTTTGGTTGGTGTAGTTGCAGAATAAAATGATAACCTATTTTAGAATTAAAAGGGAAAGGGTTTCCCAGTAGTGATAGATCTTTCATAATTAATTATTTCATCTAACCAGCTTTGAACATTAATGGTGTCCAGAGGAAAATTTCATTGGTAAACAACCTAAAAAAAGTGTTCCCACAAATTATGCCAATATACATGTCATCAACTATTATTGGTGAAAAATAGTTAATTATTAATTTTTAACTTCAATATACATATAGGGGTTTGCTAACATGGGGAATGTGTATTTTTAGTTAGGTACATGTTAGCAAGGTGTACCAAAAGATTTGGACAAAATTACCCTTAAAGTATACTTTGCTAACATGTACATAACTGAAAATACACATTCCCCATGTTAGCAAACCCCATATATATATATATATAACTAATTACAAGCTCACAATACATGCAGTGACACAACTTATGAGACAACAAAATCATAGTCGGATGAAATTGGTTTCTTAATTAAAATTATATTGTTTTAACCTACCAAGCCTTTCTTGATTTTGTTTATACAAAAACAAGTTAAAAAATTACATACGCGGACAATATATGAGTCATTAGAGTATCATTCACCATTTATGTTTAATAAGTGTTATCTTTCAATAAAGTGATACAAATGAAAGGTAAATGATATATTGAGTTTGTATAAATCTTTACACTAACATTACATAAATTTTATGTTGAAAGAAGTTTAATGACAATGGTTTAAGATTAGTCTAATAGTGTATGACTTCGTTAGATCTCTATGAAGATCAAAAGATCAATATTTAATTTCTGAAAGTAATATTTGTTTTGGAGAAACAATCATACACTCTAAAATGAATTAGTTCTAGAGAGTAAAAAAAACAATACTTCCTAACTTACCATTTAATTACTTGCGATTAGTGAGTACATCTGTCATGGATTTGTCAGTCTACGTCTATGAAATTTGGCCCTACCTCTTACTTTTTAAATAAATAAATAAATAACTGCGGTGAAAATATTAGTTTAGATAAAGAATTTTGGGAAGGAGTGTTGTTAGAGCATTTGAAATGATACAAGTAACATTAACATTCGTATTTATGTTGTCACTGAAACTTTATAACTTTAGGCAATAAAAGTAATTAATACAAAAAGTACAAGTCCACATTGTAGTTGAGATGATTGATTATCCTTGTGCAATTGGCGCTTTAACATTGTTCACATTACTGAATCTCCTTTGACTTCATTTATTATTGCAGGCACCGGACACTTCAATAATTATACTTCCGGATATAGGTAGTGTATACTCATATTATTTGCGGTACTCGTATGAGTACTCAACGAATTTTTAATTTTAATTATATTTTTATATATTTTATGATGGTTAATTTATAAAAATAATTTATACTTAAATAATATGATAATTTTATTATTATAGTCTCATCACTAAATTTTACTATATAAAATAAACAAATATAATATTAAATTAATAATAATTAAGTATAAAATATTTAATTAAAATATATACACGGATACCCGCGTGACATGTATCGTGATACTCGTTCTCACCCATAAGCTATTTTTGCGGGTATCCATTGCGAGTACTTTGACGGATACCCACAGGTCCGAGTATTTTTACCATCCATACCTGATGATTAGTTAAAAATATATTTAAGATAAAAATAATCAATCAATCATAAATAATGATAAATAAAAGTGATACATTTTAGGGACTAAAACTTCTGCTTCAATAATAATTTCATCTTTGCAAAAACATCAAATAAATAATAGAAAGGAATAATCTATGTATTTGTATTGATATATCTAAATGATCAATCTGGGACTTCCTTTTCATGCTTAATATTTTTTTTAGAAAACTTGATAAATGAATAACAATTTTCAACGAAGGAGCGTTAATGTCATTATTACGTTGACTACAAAAGGATGTTTGATAATTTGTTGATGAACATAACGATCTTTATGATATTTAAGCTATAATTTTTGTCACCAAACAATTTTTTTTTGGATTGGGCTTTTTTAAATAAGCTTTAGTGATAAACGGTGTGGGGTTTAGCTATAAAAGAATCCTACTCATATGTATTTACCTGAATGAATGCAGAGTTTGTTTAATGGTGGGGGAAACTAAATTAGTAGATATTATAGAAGGTTAAAGTATAATGTTTAATATTTGAAAACAATATTTGCTTGAAGCCGCAATATGCTAAAAGAGATCAATCTCTCATTCAAATAATAGGAAGGTAGAATGAAACATATTAGTTTTTTTGGGGGAAAAGATGGATTTAAAAATCTAGTGTAATAGCTCTTAGTAATCGATTACTCTAATTATTCTGTTATTTTGTTTGGGTAACTTGTTACTTAGTTTGAGTAATGGGTAATATAGTACCAGTAACCCTCTACATTGATCCAATAATCTCATTACATGGTTCCAATACTTCATTACTTGGTTCTAGTAACTCAATACATATATCAAGTAATCCGTTAATTAGCTTTTTGAAAGTTTAACATATTTGACTAAGTTTAGAACACTTTGTAAAAATAGTTTTTAGCTAAGAAGATTTGGTTAAATCTTAAATGACTAATAAACTCAAAGAATTAGAAGTACCCATGCTTAGACAATTGTGTTATTGAATAATCTTGATGTGTACCTTCTAAGTCTTTAAGTCTTCTATCATTTTTTTTATATTGATGTCTTCATCAAAACCGCGCCAAAGTCAATAGCAAAATCTTCTTTACAAAATATATGCATACATGTCTAGTAGTTTATGTTTATGAAATTGAGTTTAGTACAACACCTCAAATATATTAATCTATGATGTCTTTGTCATATTAGTAACTTATTAATATAACTTATGTCTAGTAACTATACTAACAAAATAAAGATATATGAATCATTAACACGCCTCTATGTCTAGCAATTTATGTTAACAAGTTCAAAAGTTATTTGATATTCATATGAATCTATATCTAGTAATCATATTAACATAGGTACACATGTGACATATTAGCACAAGTCTACATCTAGAATTATCTATATTACTTATCTATACTTCTATATCTATACTACTTAAAAAGGGAAAACATAAATTAACCACTCATGGTGTAATTTATGTTTTCTCATTTTACCATTTACCATTTATAATTTCATTTTATATATAATATCTATATTTATACTTCTATACTTCTATATCTATATCTATACTACTAATAAATCCAAAACTCAAGTTAACCACCTACCATGGTGTAATTTGTGGTTGCTCATTTTGCCATCTTTATTTTATAATTTCTACCAAAAAACTTTATATAACCCAATATTCATCTACACCCAATGCATATTATATGTTAGTTTTAAACATTGCACCATTTTTATATAAATTATATATGCGTGCTTATGGTTTGTTCATTCACACTATTTATTCATCACATATTATAAATTGGTAATCATAATCAAAATAAGAATAAATCATAGCAATAAAAGAATAAAATAATTTATAAATTGGTAATTAAAATCAGAATAAATAATAACATGCAATGAAAGAGTAAAATAATGATGCTATAATATTGGAGCCAAATATTTGTTGAAGTAGTTACAAAACAAAGGTTATAGCAATGTAATATGTGCCATTAAGAATTACTTCAAAACCACAGAATTTATTTAATAGTGCTAAGAGATATAATTGAGTGGATTAACCGCTCAATGTTCCTCTTGATTGCCATGAATTTTTCAATATTTTGTCTTGCCCGTTAAAGTAGTTTTCAAACTGCAATTTATAACTGGCAAAGAAATGATCATTTAAAACTCCACGTTATTTTCAACTGCTAACGGTATTGCAAATCCCTGATCTATTTTGCACACAAAATACTAAGGTGTAAGTAATTAATTGGTAACAGCCCACCAAAAATAATTTACTTTTACTCTGCTCCTGTACTAATCAGTGCAATTTCATTTTTGGAAGATTTACACATTTTATGCACTTCAAGAATATGTTTATACTCATCTTCGCTTACTATTTATTTTAATAGATCCAATAATTTCTTCCAACTTTCAGGTATTTCTCATCTCTTTCCTTTTTGTTCTTTTTTCTCTCTCTTCTATAAACAAATTAAAATCACTTAATAAACAATTACTCACAAGAACTTATGTTTTTATTGTGTTGTTCATTCAAACTATATATTTGTGCATATTTTAATGCTTAATCATAGACTGATATGATAGTACTACTACTCATCTTTGCTTGGAATTTGTTTCATTACAACCAATAATTTATTGGCTCAAAAAAATAATTTCTTCCAACTTTAAGGTATTTCTCATCTCTTACTTTTATATATTATATTTTCTCTCTTCTATTACCAATTTAAAATCTCTTATGACCATTAAGTTACAACAATTTCGCATAGGTAATTTGTTTTAACGGTTCCAACATATACACTGAGCAAAAAATTTCATTTTGTTATAGTTTATTTGTATTACTATAGTTAGTACATATCATATTTCACTACACTAAAAAACTATGACCAAACAAAGATATACCAACAAATATTGAAATATAGGTAAAAAAATTCAATTTGTTTATTGGGTATTAAGTTGTTTAATATTTTTATGAAACATGGTATTTTGATAACAAGGTTTAACGTACAGTATTAAAATTTTGTTGAAATTTGATGATTGAATTATTTTTAACCTAAAATGGTTGTATTTTAAAGTGTAGTATTGTAATATTTGTAATGCACAGAGATATGATGATGTTTATCCATATATTCTGCATTTCAATGATGCTCAAAAACATGCACTACCATATGATCTCTTAAAATGTTTTACAATTTTTACTATTGTAATTTATGAAACAAGTTTAATGTTCTGATTTGTTTTTCTGGTTATCTCACTCTATAAATGACATATCTTTTGCCTAGGGTAACTGATGTCCAGATTTAAGACTTTTGCCTAAAACTAAACTCAAAACATCAGACAATATGAGACCCCCTTTTGTTCTTAATAGAAAGCAATTTTCTGTGCGATTAATAAGTTTTGCACTTACTATAATTAAGGCACAAGGACAGATCATTCTCAATGTAGGTATTTATCTTCCTAAACATGTGTTTGGACATGGCCAACTATATGTTGCTCTATCAAGAGGTGTTTCAAAATCTACCACAAAAATTCTTATTAAGGAATGAACAATTCCACAGTAGGAGAGTGATTTTACAAATAACATTGTTTTTAAAGATATTTTATAGTCTTAAGTTTGTGCTCTTAATGCTACTATATACATTTACATTTATGTAACAATCATACTTCATTAACAACCAAGGATTATAAGGAACAATCCAACGGTTCTCAATAGTCACACGTATATTAAGAGTCATAAGTTCAACATGTCATATTTTATACTCTACACAACCGTCACTATTTCTTCCCTATTTGTTTTTCACTCACAAAGTTGTCATAAGGTGTAGTATTAAGAATAGTGTCATCATTACTTTCATAATTTAATATTTTTTTCTTCTTTTTTCTTATTATCCTACTTTTTGGTACTTCAATGGAAAATCATGTACACATTTCATATTTACTTTAACAAATTTCATTACATCGAGCAAATTACCTATTCTATTATCCCAAAAAATATAGCAATTTTAGTGTTCACTTTAATGGGACATTGTGGCTTCAGAATTGCCTCCGCGCAACACTCTCAAACAAATAATTGTTAGGTATTTCATCTTATCGAAGAAAATTCATTATTCAGTATATCACCTCTCTTTATATTTGTGCGATTACTATTACAAAATTAAGAATGCATTTTACAAACATGGTGTAATTTGTGGCGACCTTAAATACTACCTTTAAAATAATAGGAAATCAGGTTGACAAACACATTAGTATTTTAATGCATCCCTTCATTAAACATTTCATTATTTCATGATGATTAGCCAAACACTGTTATAAGCATCCTATAGAATTATATTTCAATGTATAATTTCCTATCGTTTGTAGATTATACATTACAAATGATTGGAAAGCGGGTTGACAAGCACAACAGTGTCTATCAACACACTAGTACTAATAAGATGAGTTCCTAATTTTAGGCTCTTACAAAAAAAAAAATTATTAGTTCGTTCATCCAAATATAATATAAAAGAGGATGTCAATCTCGAATTAAGCATTAGGCAACATAAGCATCTCATAAATACCAATACACAACAATTAAGCATGAATTTGAATACAAGTATTATACATCAAGTGAGGATTACATTCAATCCCAACAAGGGAGAAATTTAACTGAATATATTCATGAAAGCTATAACAAAGATAAAATAAAAAAATACAACCCAAAAGAGAAAAGATTACCTCTCCAGAAGCATACATCAACTTATATGATCTGCCCATTGCGTTTAACATCCTAATTCTAACTGAAACAATCTAAGGAAACAATTTTGAACCCATATGAAGTAATTTTTAATCCCCTTTTATCAATCTTTTTTTAACGATTTGATGGGTATTGGGTGGGTAGCTACACTCATTGCACCTATTCGTTTGGCTTGACATTTCACCTAGCCAAATTGTGGTTGGTGCAACATCTTTACCTTAGCATAAGTCTGCTTGGCACCAATCCTTGCTCATTTTTACTCTTTAAGTCCTAAAATGACATGAAAACTCATATTATAGGATTAGTGTAGTAAATTATTAAGATGCCAAATATATATGAATAGCATTATCTAAACTTTTTGAATAAAAAGTATTCAATTATCCTTATAAATTAAGATATTTTTTACCCCTATTGATCACTTTTAAGTTATTTTCACCTATTTCATGTTCTCGGGTTTAGGTTGAGCAATGGAAAGTCTTTATGAACCCAGCTAGTGTGTGTATGGGTAACTAGAAATTATCAAGATCATCTTATGAAAAAATAAAACTCATAGATATGGTATTTAATAGGTACAACAAATCAAATACTTTCTTGTCCTTAAAAATAATTGTTATAAGGGTTTTGTTATCTTTTATAAATTAATTTAATAAAGTAAAAATATTTGATTAATTATTTTATTTCTATTAAATACGTCCATATACAATTCCTTCTCACTTATTCCAAGAAAAGTGATATTGAAAAAGCTGAGGATAAATATGATGAACAACAAAGGCTTTGGAAAGGCCTATGTTTTACTGTAACAACAAAACCCATTACAACAAGCAGTACTATTTATTATGTTCACTATATTTCTTTTCTCTGCGACCACTTCTGGACCCAAATTAAAAACACTAGATTTGTATCACTTGAAAAGAAGCAAGTGCATAATCAAGGCCCATGTTAAATAAAAACAAAACTCCCCATTACAGATTAATATGCGACTCATCTCCATTAATATAGAGAAAATTTGTGTGAAAAAAACAAATAAAATAACACTTGTATCCTTGTTAATTATATTGATATTACAATTTTATCTTTAAAAATCAAAGGAAAAAAAACTTCTATCTTCATTCCTTAAGATGAGTCCCACTCTTTCTTGAAAATGAGAAAAAGAAACACTTTATTCAACAAAAATAGGAAAATAGTAGTTGCATTTTTTTCTTCCTTGTTTAATGATAGAAGAAGCATCCCAGTAGAGTAAAGCGTATGGATTCCAAATATCAATCCAAATTGTCACTAATGTTCTTCAAATTATCTACAAAGAGTTCTACAACTCTTCTTTTTGGTATTAATTGGAGAACAACTATTTTTACATGGTTTCTTTTCAGCTATTGCACTCGGAGCAATGTTTTAAGAATAATAAAAAAATGTAAAGTTTATATTAATACCAAATGTGATTTGATTCTTATACTTCTAATAACGATCATAACTGTAGAAGACATTCTTAGATATTTTTATTATAAATTTATGCTTATTTCACAACTCTCTCATGATTGTTTCCAAACAAATAATAGATAATCACCATTGGAGTGAATATTCTTAAATTGTTAGGATGTAAATACATAAAATAAGTAGTGGAACCCATCTAAGAATAGAAAAGTCACCCATGAATGTATATGAGGCCATGATTAGTAAAACTCTATTTACTTATCACTTTGTGACATAAATTACTTTTTTGTAGTTAGAATAATTAGTATGAAAATTTAGTAAGAGGATATAATATTACTCTTTTTTAATGACTATGTGCGCAAGTGGTCTAATAACATTATTTAAATATACAGAAACCAAATCTCCCATTTTTCAGTTGAACCCATGGATATGGTTGGAACTTTGTAATAGTAGTTTATACTCTAATGTTCTTAACAATTATAATCCTAATATTTATATATTTTCTTACATAATTTTTTGTATCTTAATTTTTCTTCCTTTTACTTTTCTCTCTCTCTTTCTTCCAATTATATAACATGTAGCCCTTTCTCTTATCTCTCTTCTTTAACATTGACCCCTACATTTTTTTTAATTATAAGATGATTTTTTATTAGATTATGTGATTGATCACATATGTCCTCTTCATATTTTTTATATATTTATTTCTTATAACAACTTGCACACACTTAACACAATCATTTCTACCATGCCTTTTAAATATAACTTTATAGGATAAATTTCCACATTATGATAAATTTTTTGGTTTGTAATATAGAAATTACGAGCTCAAATACTAAAAAAAAACTTGATTTCCGTCAAACCTCATTAGGTGAGAAGCTTATATATTGAACCTATTTTGTTCAAACTATATTTTTCTTAAGAAAAAAATGTAATTTGTTTGCTTAAATTAGTGGATAAAAAAATCATTTTGGAGAATTAGTTCCGCACGTGCCAAGTTCTCAACTATATAAGAAGTTGGCACGAGCATTCCCATCTCAATTTAATCAAATACGAAGAAAAACAAAAGAAGAGTGAAACGGTAAACAATGGCTTCGTCAATGGTGCGATCTGGTTTTCTTCGAACTGCACTTCGAGCCAGAAACGGCGCTTCTTCCTCCACTGTTCCCAAGCGCAACTTCGCTTCTTCCTCTGGCCATCACGATGATGCATGTTAGTATTTTAATCTCTCTCTCATCTAAATCAATTTTGTTTTCATAAATATCTATTTGTATTAGTTTTTCTTCCCAAATCAGAATGATTTTTGAGGAATATTGTGTTTGTTATGTCATGTTCTGATTAAATTTTGAATATATTAATTTAATTTGCGATATGGTTTGTGGATTTATGAAATTGATGTAGTTTGTTCTCAAAATTTACGTTGTTATTGTTTTTTTAAATAGATGTGTGTGTTGATTTGGCATTTTAGCGTGATTGAGTGTGTATGCCTCGTTATTTTTATTTGAAAGGGAAAATGCATTTTACCCTCTAACGTTTCGGTATGTGCAGATAGATTACCCTGATGTTTAAAGGGTGTATTTCACCCCTCAATTTGTTTGAACTGTGCAAATTAACCCTTATATTAACTTTATGATGATCCAACATTTAAGTTCACTCATTTGGAGATGAAGAAAACAAAAGGGAAAAATCAATCATTTGTGGCTCTCATTGTGTCTTCCATTTGGTGTGCTGAGTGCTTTGAGAATGGTGAGTTGAAACGAGGATTTGGGTTTGGAAAGGTACAGACTAATAGAGGAAGAAGAGGGTAAAGGGTATTTTTGGAAGAAATTAAGTCACCTGCAATGCATTTGACCATTTCCATCATATTTTCATAGTAGTTAAAAAAGATTAATTTGCATGATTAAAAAACAGTAAAGGGTAGAATATACCTTTGTAAAGACCAGGGGTAAATTGCACATGATTTGAAGTTGCATTTGATTCATGATTTGATAGTGAAGTTGCATTTGATTTGGAAACTTTA